ATCAGCACATAGTTTAGTGTGCGCGATGGACAGTATGGCTATGGAATTTACTAACCACACAATCCACGTTTAGGTGATTAAGTCGCAAAACTTTATTTGCATTTGGTGGATTAAGTCGCAAAACTTTAGGTTCGTTTGGTGGCACCATTTACTCTAGGTAGACGGCGACCGGTTTCGTTACCGGTTGGTACATTTCTTACAAACATTCAGCCAAAGGCCATTGAAAGTTGAGACGGCAGCCGTGTTTTTATCGATGTTTGCCATCTTATGTGTGCCATCGTAAAGGAATTGCGTTTTAATTTAAATCTCCGAACTTCTGAAGCTGACATATCCTATGAATGTAGGCTTGTAATGCAGGCTACAATTTAAAAACGGGTGGGACTCATTCAAAAATTCGAGGGGGTTCGCTAGAAAACAGGGGGGTTCGCTAGAAAAGGGGGGTTCGCCCGAACCATAAAAACCCCCCTGGCTACGGGCCTGCTATATATTCCAGGTATAATATTATTGTAATTTCTCAATCAATATTCAAAATGAGATCATTGTCCGATAATGGAAGGTAGCGCTAACTGATGATGCTGTTCCTATAATAAACATCAATTATATATATAGCCATCTACTCGAATACTATACACCTGTTGAAATGAAAATGAGTAGAACATTTGAAACAGTAACAGAGAACTAGGCACCACCTAGTATTACGATTATATAGTTTGCTGTGTCTAGGATGATTGACAGAATAAAGAGAAGATACAAAACCCACTAAAGTCTTTAATCTTTATTCACAACATTCAGTTAAAATGTATAGGCAACGGAATTAGAATGAGGTGAAAAATGAAGCATGTTAGTGAGTAGGGCCTACAGGAGCAAGAATTATCGAAAATGATGGGACAATATTGGGGCAGGTGCAGGGTTTGGTGGCATGCGGGGCATGAGGGCAAGGGCGCAGATCTTTTATTGAAAGGTGGAGGTGGGGACATTTGGTGAGTCCACTCCACACCCACCTCAGCCATGGTTGGGAAATAGTACCTCTAGATGGCCGGAAATGGCACTTTTATTATACAGTAGTAGAGTTTATCACCATCACATCACCATTATATAGGCAAAATGAAGCGCCAACAAATTCTCATGATCTTTTATCAGGGATTTTCAGCAACCACAGAGATCTATTTAATATGTGTGATGTACCATAGAAAATAAAGCTAAAAAACACTGTCTTTGATGTAGGCCTGTATACTTTACTTTACCTACTTAAAAGCCGTGAGTCCACAACCACCCATCATGGTTGGGGCTGAGGTGCGAAAAGTTACCTCTAGGAAATAGTACCTCTAGATGACCTTAAATGACACTTTATATAGTAAAATTCATCATCATATCACCATTATAGTCAAAATGAAGCGCCAACAAATTTCTCGAGATCTTTTATCAGCGATTTTCAGCAACCACAGAGAGATGTTAATGGTGTGATAACAAGACGTTATGTGTATGGGCATGTATGGGATATCACGCGAGGCACACGCCCTTGTCATTCTGCATTGGATTGCTTCAGGAGAAGTAATATGACCTCTTTGGTGGGCAGACCAAGCAGGTAGGCCTACACCATATTCAATTATTGGACGGACTAATCCGTTATACAATTTTGATATACTATATGGGTCACGGTAGCAGAATAGTCTGAGCATGGAGGTATAAAAGAATATATTATACTGCACATCCATGGTCTGAGAATAAAGCCAAGTATTCTAGAGGCTTTGGATTTAGTGTTAATTTTCGAATTATTTAAAATTAGTAGTCTACATTTACACATACTTCTATTGGCACGAATGGGCTTTCGTAGGATCCTGTATCAGAGCACTTCACAAAATAGTGGTTGGCATAATAATGGTGCATGGTGCATTGAATATAAACAATGAACTCAGTACGTCGCCTTTGGAATTGGATCTTAGATGAGAAGCAGCCCTAAAGAGGAATGTCATCAGCTCTTCACTCCCGACCTCTCCCGATTCATGATTTGAACATGAACAGAAAGCTTCTCCGTGTACTACTGTATTGATACGATCGATTTTTCCTGATGCGTTCATATATGTACTGTATATAGGCCATAGTTGATAATCTGTACACAAGACAATATTTTAAATTATATTTGATTGATGTTATATGTTTATTACGATATGCAATATACAGTGAATCAAAAGAAAGAATGTTTTGTTCAACAACAGAACTTTATTATTGACAAAATAAATGTAAGCAAAAAAACAAACAAACAAAACAAAACAGATTATCAACTACAATATGCCTGCTTGTACAATTTGTGTTATTCGCGTGTTAGTACAAATTGTTTAGAACAAGTACACTAAGAACTAGGCTTAATACTAACAATACTAATACAGTATTAGAACAGGGAAATATATAACAGGAATTGTAGTAAACAAACATAAGTAGGTTTCGTAGTTTTCATATAATTCTTATAGCATTTATCTAAAGCAATATACAAAATGAGAAAAATTGTTCGGAAACAATTGTAGCACATAATGGTACTGTTTTGTCAAAAGACAATACAGTACAATGTCTTTCAAAGCAAAAATATGTACTACAGAATAGGAAACAACCCCTCTGAATAACTAAGAAATCATAAACCAGATGTACATTGTGTGTATTTGCCTTATAGATCACATGTGTAAGTTGTCATGACACCATACATTAATTTTAGTTTCCATAGTACGTTACATATTAATTTTAGTGTTTATTTTGCCGGTAGTAGTATGCCTACTCTTTTACAAGGTATTTTCATGGTGATTAGTGAGGGCGCACGCGAACCCTACCTTTAGGGATATTTTGAGTTGTAACAGTAGAATAAACACGTTGTACAGTAATATTAAACAGTCACCTAGAATAACTGCACATAATGTGTAATTACTATGTACCTTAACAGTATACAGTACTGGTAAAACATAACTACCGTACATAGATTACCATGGAACTTACAATATACAGTTGGTATAGCCTTATATTATAAGTAAGTAGAGTAATAATAGAGAATTACAAATAAATTCTTGTGTTTGAAAATGACTTGACTAAAAGTACAATTAATCTCCTGTCTCTTATACACATCTTAATTAACAAAATGTATTTTTTTAAATATAGGCATATGGCGCATCCTGTACATGCACTTCAACTTTTACAACAAAAGCCTAGGCCTAGTAGGCCTACCTGTAGTACGTCCTACTGTACTTAGGCCTACACTTTGTTGTCGTCGGGGTATAATTCTGTATCTAAATGAACAAGGAGCGAACCTAGCTAGTCAACATCTAGGCTAGGCTAATTGATTTTAAAATCAATAACCCACCAGGACTATCTGTCGTTTTCTTCTTTGCAACAGCGGACGAAAAAAAAACTTTAGCAAAGCCCCTCTTGGACAGTAACAAAACAAACACTAGATTTTCAATATTTCGGTTGTTTGGACCTAATGAACCAGAAACTTTTCCTCTGGCCTTATCTAGTTCAATGCAAGATGAATAATAAATGCTATCAATGAAATAAGTGAATTTTCAACAGTAACTTACAGTATGTTTATCAGCAATAATAGCCCACGTTTGTATATATTGCATACAATTATCTTGATTCAAACACATAAAATCGCCAACAAAACATTATATTATGCTCAATAAACATTTTCTCGAAAACAACATAATAGCACCAGTTAGCTGTAGGATATTCCCTCTGTATATTGTAAAACCAATTTGAAAATGTATATAAATATACATGCTCATAAACATAAAGTTACAGTATATCAATCATTTACATGAATATTACTCATTCCTCTTAATTCCAGTATTTATAAACAATGTTCAAACAGGAATGCAGATTTTGACATTTAAAACCCCAACTGATCCATAGGTGAGTTGTACTCTATAGAGAATTGTGTGGCCTACCAAACTCTATGTATAGTGTACGCCCCGTTCCGCAACCTTTTTAGCCCATAGCCCGAATTAAATGTCAAGCACTCAGACGCGACCCATACGACCAAAAGGCCGAATTTATTATCTGAATTCCAAGGTGAAATGATTGAATATGGTCATATTACTTTCTTGAGTTTGTCACGGCCGTCGTTTTATTTTACAGATGTTTCACTACAAAAACTTAAATTTGCTGCCAAAAATAATAATATGGGTGATTGTAAGGCACAGACACATTTTAATTGACTTTCAAGTTGCCATACCTGAAGTACAAATGTTTTGATAGAATATTATTGAAAATAAAACTATTGATAACGCATGCATTACAAAAGTAAACTGATCCATATGCCACACTTGTATGCACATTTCTTTAATATAAATTTTTATTTCGCTGAGTAAAATGTCCACAATCTGAAAAGATATGCGACCCATCAAAATTGTTGCAGAACGGCGGCGTAAGCAACTTAAACTAAGGGGTTTTATACTTTATGGTACTTAATATAAATATGGAGACCAAGTATTAGAATTAATAAAATTATTTTTTTCATTTCTGATATCAAGCTAATATTAAACTTCGTTTGTGCTTTTCACATTTTTACTGACCAAGGCATAAAATAGTAATATTAAATGACTTTTGAATAACCTGTACTACTTAAGTACAAATTATTCAAAATAATAAATGGCAGGCTTGATTTTCTCTCAAATAAATCAACATATTTACAGCTGAATGATATATGTGTAATTAAATTCTTCTGGAACTTTACTGGCCATATTTTAGTTACAATCACAAGACTGTTCTGATTTTGAAATTGTACTTTTATATAAAAAACACTATTCAAAACAACATGGTGTATTATGAATAGCAGTTAATTTCAGTATAAACTTAATTGTGATAGTTTTTCTCGGAGGGGGCGATATTTAAATTTGTGATACCTAAAATTAAAATAAATTAGACAAAAATTGAGTGACACAATAACTGTAAACAGACTTAACAATGGCAGCTTTTTGCAGAGTATAAATCTAAAGAGAATAATCTTGTTATATAAAATTTTAAAGAAATCAAAAGAAAGGCAGAGGTAACATTAAGAAAAATTCATGCCTACATTGAGTAAAAGCAATCAAAGACAAAAACAAATACACTGATGTGGCCATAATTGTAAATTTGGAAGACAAGACATACATAATAAAATATTTAGAATGCTCTAAATGAAAATAATTTGAAAAGTAAGTAAAATAAATTCTACCATGATAATTAGTATATTCTTTGACCTTTGTTTCTATTCCTATCTTTGTACATACATGCAACAAATTTTCAAATTCTTTTCATCTATTAATTTGTAAAATGCCAGTTTTCAATCTATCTCATGTTCACCTCCTTCCAATTATTTCTTTCTAAAATAGGCTTCTATGACTCCATCTTACATAATTGATTTGATCTATTTAAACATCTTGTAGAACTTCTTCATAAGGTCTTGAAAAAAGGTTCTTTTCTAAAGAATAAAAATCAAAATTTGCAAAGAAAACTCTTCTACATTAAAAAAAATAAACATGTTTTTATTTTCTTTCACAATTGATGATAAAAAATAAAATACAAATAGCCTTCTTGTACTAATGGAAAATTGATGTGTAATTCAAAATTGCCTGTGAATTATCAAGACAGAATTACAAATGTTTCATCAAATCTAATGTCTCATAAACTATAGTTTTGTAGATTTTTAGCTTTGAGTTAACATTATTTTCTAACCCTCCTGATTCAATTTATTTTCACAGTAAAACTGTTTATAACCTTTTATTAAGTTTGTTCATAATAAACATTGGATTTCCCCATCAAGATGACATTAATATGGTATAAATATTCTGTATACCAAAACAAACATCTGCCAAATTATTATTAAGTATTAAAAAAAACTAAAAAAAAAACAACTCCAAAACTTGTTTTAGTTTATATTGTAAATGATCAAAAAACGTTCTGAACTAAAAATTTAGAAGGCTTAGCAAGCCCTTAACCAGTAACAAGTAAGTCTTTATGGTTTGCCCAACCCTTTATTTTAAACCAAAAACCACTGAAAAACCATACCACCCTTAAATATCACAGACCCACATGACTAAAACACCCATCGGTTTATGCATGTATCAATACTCATCATTAAAAGAGTGCATACCTAATCAATGAATTCAGGCATATTAAAACCTGAGCTGGTTTTGAGAACAATCTCTACCTCAGGAATTTCATAGACTAAAAAAATGGAAGCATTTTCATAAATAAAATCCTACCTCTTAATTGTATTTCTTTTTCCCTGAATAAAATTTTCATGCCATAGCCCTATATTTGCCTTCCTACAACATGTTTTTGAGACATCTTTTAACTAATACATCTACAGACCATTTGACTCACTGAACTTATATAAATACTAAATAAATAAATAATGAATAGCAAATAATATAAAGTAATCTTGTTCTAAAGAAACTTCTACCATTTAGTTTATGAGTGTTGTTTATTGTATCAGTAAAACTAGAGTACAGTTCAAAACCACTAGTTATACCTTACTAGTCAGTAGGTATAGTCTTAACTTGCATTTTTGATCTAACAACAACAGCACTGTCCTGCATTAGTATAATTAATTCTTGTGCTAATCATGGATACTTGTTACCATAGACATTTGAAACCCTGGATTGAAACCAATAAATACTGTACTTTGAAAATATTTCCCTTACCACATACACTTGGATCAGATCCTTAAACAGCAGTACAGTACACTGCTCAAATAGGTAAATACAGTACCTATTAAGAGCACTAGTTCCAGAGTCAACTTTCATACATTGAGCAGATGAGCACTGTGAATGTGAAGGCTTGTTTTCAAGGATAAAAATGGTGCTTCATTGCCTCTGACTACAGTCCCACCAACCAAAAACACAATTGTAGTCATAACCATGAGAAAAAAAAATATGTAAATCTCATAGCGTATACAGTATGTAACAATGCATGAAATAACAATAGAAATAAAAACTTAGAAAGCTGGCTTTACTTTCAGCATCCATTCCCTGTGCTCTGTTTCTTTCCAAAGATGTGGAATCTGACAGGCCAATCATCCTCCTATCTGGCCAATGAAAAAGTCTCTATTTCAACATACCATTAAAGTAGGCAAAATATATTTGTCAGTGTGGCCGGCTGCTGTTCAGCGATTGATCCCTCTCAGGCGCTGCATCTCCATTCATCATGCGAGTTTTAAGGCCGCCGTTAGAAATATCTCGAATGTGCTGGACAATAAGACCTATTGCAACTATAAAAAAAAAACAACCGATAAATGACAAATATCGATCTCAGTCAAGCATTGAACATTCATATCATTCTCATCTTGAAGTAACTATATAACAAACTTCATAAATATAACATACTGATGTTGAACAATAATATATTGCACACAGAAATTACTCTTCCCTTATTAACTGGGTTAGCAGACATCTCATTCTGGGTTTGAGAGAGTTCAGATTCACTTTAAAATGGAGAATAATATTCTTAGTTGAGTTTTAAAAACATTTAGTATTTCGATTTTAGATAATATTGTTGCCATAATAAAGACAATTACTTGTTACTTGTCTTCAAAGCTGTTTTTTTCCATTAAAAAAAATACATGTCATTGACTTGCATTAGATTAATACTTTCATTAATATTCCATTTGAAAGTAGCACAAAATGCTTATTTATCCATTTAATTATATATACGTATTTTATTTTCTTATAATTATATTTTTAAGTAGTGTTGTATATTAGCTGGCACGCTACCCAATGTAATCTAAGCTTACTGGGACTTCAAAATTTGTATTATGAATTGTAGATGAATATGTATTGATTGATGTAAATGAAAAAAATTGACATGATTTTATTGATTTTAGTTATCCATCTGTAACCCACGTGGGACCCTTGTGTGCTACTTCCCTTCCGAATGCTGATCATTTATGGAGAATTACCAGGTATCGCTGAATTTAACATACAGTATACCTGATTATTAACCAAATTGACTACTTAATTTACAGTGTTTAATAAGACAGTTTGTAGTTTTAACTGCACATGCCAGCATCAAAGGTCAATAGACATAAAACATTTAACAGACATATTCTGTCTATGTCAATATCTTTTTTGTTAGCAGAGGCGGATCCAGAATATCTTTGCTGAAGTGACACGAGTGGCAATCAAAGACTGAAGTGGGCAGCACTTATGGTGCGCTGAGAGGATGGGTTTAAAGTGTTACATTATAAACTGATTTAACCCTTGACTAGGAGGAGGGGGAGCGCCATTTGCCACCACAGGATCTGCCAACGGTTAGCAAACTATCAATCCTGGTCTAAATGATTCTATAAAATTACCTGTGTTTTCAACACCTCTTGGAATGATTACATCGGCATACTTTTTCGTTGGAAGGCAAAATTCTTCAAAAGCTGGCTTTACAAACTGAGTATACTGAACAAGAATTTGTTCTAAATCACGACCCCTATCATTAATATCTCTCAGAACTGTAACAAAGAATAAATAAAATAAATAGTATCATTAATAAAAAAGAAATAGTAAAAGAAAATTTGCAAAGTGGAAGAAGAAAATAACTTGACATTTTATCAAACTAGCTATTGTTATCACTGAGAAGAATAACATCAGTAATTCTCTTTTTGACGGGCAATTAGCTGCAACTCACTTCCCAGAATGCTAAAATCAGACATTTAAAATAAGTCACCTCTTGGAATGAGTATTGAAGTGCACACAGTAAGTATGTGCTCTATATACTAAGGCAAATTTTAGCAGGATATAAAATTGAGTGTAAAAAAATACTAAAGAGTCCATTGACCCTATAATTTATATGGTGGCCCAAGTGCTTTCATGCTACAATGATATGCTTTAGGATGACTGCCATTTTGAATGAAAGAGATATGTAGTACTATAATTGTTTCTTGGAGTTTTGTCCTTTGTCCTACACCTGGTAGCAGGAAATTGACAATGAGTACTGTAATTCAGAGTGAGCACTGTTTGGAAAAACTTAATGTCAATACCATACAGTAAGTCATAAATCATATTTAAAATGTCAGCTAATTAGTCATTACACGCTTTATTTGTACAATTTTTTGTCATTAACTGAAGAAACAAATAGATAAGAATTCTTTTCTTCTCCTATAACACTCCTAGTATGCTTATTAGTAAACATTTGCTTGATATCCACCCACAGAGAATGCTCCATTTTGTGTGTAAATCTAAATTAATGCATACCAGTCAAGCGGCAGTCATAAGATGTCACAATCCTGTGTAAAATTTGTTCATTTTGACTTGAATTACAGCTTATAATGTGTGTATGTGGGCAGAGTTTCATTCGAATCCATCATATATTTACAGAGCTCTTCCCTTACAATAATTTCAGTGTGATGGACCTGTAATGAATATGCAACTTGAGTGGTGGCTTGTTAGTTGCAACCAAGGTCCTTACCTCTCCTTGAAAGCCTAGTGTCTGGATCTGTATCAACAAACAGTTTCATGTTGAACATGCGCCGTATTTCTGGGTAGTAAAAGACAAGAATGCCTTCTACAATGATCACGTCTCCTGGATAGATCACTGTAAACCCTTCAGGTTTTCTATGAAATAATCAAACTAATAATTATTGAACTGAATAGGAAGCCTTTGAATTTGGTTAACAAATACTATAAACAGAAATTATTGCAGAAATATGTTACGAACCGGATAGCTAAAACTACCACCTGCATCTGATGTGGCATTACAAGTAAAAGTGGCATTGTGCAATCAAATATTACTATATTGGAATAAAAAGTGTTTTCTTTTTTACCTTCTTATAAAACTTCTGTTAAAAATTCTTGCAATTAAAAAATTTTAAAAGACAAATGTAAAAAAAAAAAAAAAAAAAAAAAAAAGAAAGAAAAATAAAAAAAGCATTGAGTTGTATCCAAGATTTTACTGTATGCCAAGTTCAAAATTTTTTACCTGGAATGTGTTTTGAAATCATATATTGGTACCTTTACTGACTTCCCATTCTTGATATCTTCCATTATTTGTTTCATCAGTCCATAATCAAACGCATCTGCAAAACAAAATTCTCATTTTAATGAAGGCATTATTAAGGATCGTTATGTCTCCAGCAAGACATGGCTTACAACAAGCAAGTTTTTTTTTTAATTATATAATTGACAAACTTGCACAAAAGGCAATAATTTCACTGCTCTATAGGAATACAATGACAATGGTCTATTTGCAAATAGTCTTATTACCAATCATTACATACTTTTTTGTAGTCCCCATTTCTACAGCCACAAAGAACCTTTCTTAAAGAGAACAGTTCTTAAGAACGGTTTTTTCTTGTCAGTGGAAACAGGCCCTGTCTTACTGTTTGAGGACCTGTGAATAGAAACTTACCTGTAGGCTATTTCAGTCTAGACTTTCGCCTGTTTTAAGTTTTAAATTGATGTTTAAACTGATAGTAAACTTGTAATGGAGAAGGTGATAAAGAATTGAGCAAACACAAATGAAAACATGCCTATATTGGCGTTGGTGATAATTACTACCGTTCTGTATAAAAAGTCTTTAAACAATCACATGCAACAGGTATCATAAAAATTCTAAACCCAGTACTCTATTAGTAACCCAGTATTCTATTAGTAACCCATGCTCCAACAGTAACTAAACTTAAGTTAATCTAGACCCACTACTCTAATAGTAACCCACTGGGGTTATGGAATGCCAAAACTTCATACACAATTAAAGTAATAAATCAACATTTTTACGCTCAGGCGTTTCTCTTCTTTTTTTTCACAATACAATAGGCCTACATTACTAAAAGTGTCACTTCTGGCCATCTAGAGGTACTACTTCCTCAAATTTTCTCACCTCAGCTCCAACCATGGTGAGGCTGAGGTGGGTGTCGACTCACAAAATGCCCTCCCCCTCCACCTTTCAAAACAGATCTGTGCCCTTCCCTGGGTATGACATTAAACTCCATCGAGTCGGCTCCTGATGTATTTCTTAGTGACTGCTGTTTGTTTTTAGGATGTGATCTGGTTTTTCATGTCCATTTTTCGTGATTATGACTATTTTGGATAAAGAATGTTTTAAGCAGAGGTGGAGTCAAGGCCCCCCTGCCCCAACCTCCCTTAATTTTTTTTAAGGAAAAAAAAGAAAAATATATTCAAATTGAAGTGCGAGAGTGTAATTTCTGGCAATCTGGAGATGCCCCTATCATAAATTTTTTTACCTCAGCCCCAACCATGGGGCTGAGGTGGGTGGTTCCTCGGTCTGTGAAAGTCCCTCCCTCTTTCACCTCTCTTTCGAATTCCTGGACCTGCCACTATTATATAATTATTTTTGCGCTTATTTATAATGCGTCTATTGCAATTTTCACTTTATCCTCTCAAACAGTCCTAAGAATGTTTGGAGTGCTCTACTTCACAGGGGGAATCGCCCCCTTGACCCCGCCGGGGTCCTACGTAATTCGCATAACGGCACCCCCCCCCCCTTTCAAAATCCTGGCTATGTCCCTGTCACGACCCACAAAGAAAAAATCCTGGATATACCCCTGAACACGATAAGGAGGAAGAGAGTGGGGGGGTGCCTCTAATCCACCTTCCAGTCCTGGAAAGAAAACGTTTGTGCCTTCGACCATTGAAAGTTATCTTGATAAAATGCCTCCAGCACCAAATGTTATCTGTACTCTCTATAGCCCAACAGTTAATTATTTGGATTTTTTTCCCCCAAAATGCCTCCGGGACTTTCATGTCGCCTCCGACCGCCAGTCGCGTGGTTGTACACTTTTTCAGCCCTGCCAACTTCCTTTTATCAAAAAGTTTGGAAAAGAAACACTGTCTGTTAATTGCCTTAAATTTCTTATGTAATATCCTGCAATTCATAAATAAGCCACCTACTGATTGATAGGTCACAGTATTGTGAAACACAGTATCAAAAAGTCCATAAACCAATCAGAAACACAGTATCAAAAGTCCTTAAACCAGTAATCAGAAACACAGCATCAAAATGTCCTTAAATCAGTAATCAGAAACACAGCATCAAAATGTCCTTAAACCAGTACGGCAATCGGAAACACAGATTATCAAAATGTCCTTAATAATGATCAGAAGGTTTTACTAAAAACTTCTGTTTTTATATACGAGGATACTCTATATTTTGAATACTCAAAACGTAAGTTTCGAAACTATTTAAACAAAAGTAACATGGAAATATAAGAATACATACAAATGAAATTCAGTCTGAGTATAAAGTTACTGAAGACTTATTAATATTGCATTTATTTCGCGAAAATCATCCAGTAATTAAAATAAATATTGGTTGCAATTTCTTTAAGTAATAGATCTTCATACTTTTTAAAAAAGAGTTATCTATTATTGAAATTACCTAGAACATTAATTGACTTACCAAATTAATATCTGAAAGCAAAAGGCTTATTACTTTAAGCTAAATAATTTATCGTGACACTGATGTCAATATAATTTCGATAGCTCACTCCCTAGGCTTTTGAAGCATGAAGGCACTGTGAGACATAACACATCAACTGTGATGGTTGGTAGTTGGGGCATGACGTTTAGTTTAGTATGTCACAATTAACCCTTGACAGTTGGCTGTAATATTTCAGCCAGCCTGTGTCTGTCAGAGTGCTTTTTTAACGATAAAAATTAATAATAAAAGATACCAACAATTTTGCAACTGCAACATCTACTGTATACTGCTGCAGCGGGCTTTTTTTTTTGGACAAAAATGCACTTTGCTTACTGCATACTTACCTGGATGGTCAAAGTTGAACTGTCCTTTGAAGGCTTTCTTCTTCTCTTCTTCATTTAGAACCTTATAGAAGCTATCCTGGCCAATCACATTCACTCTGCGTTGACGATTGTCAATCAGATGCTGATCAAGTTGTTCTACAATTTTTGCACAAACTGAAGACTAAGAAAATAAAAAGATTGGATAAACAAAACATATGTGAGTTGTGACTTGATGCACTATTAATATATGGAATCTTTATTTGAAATACAGACACACTGTGCCTCATCTACTATTTTTACTTTATTAATTAAATATTTGTATAATACAACAAAACAATTGGCCTCAAATTAGAGAGTGAAATGTAATATCAACGTGGGCTGAGTTGGTTATGAGCTAAGTTGGCCAATGTAAAGGCTAAGTTTGCGGAGGACTGCATAAGTCGGTGCATAGGTATCTTTTCTACAGGTTTTATTTATTAACATTTGTTTGTACTTAATTATTTAAATATAAAAAATGATTATATATTATATGGATCTGCAATGCAAGTAGTTTGGTTGGAGGACTATTTAGGAAAATTCAAGGGTAGGGGTGGTCGCCAGAAAAGAGGGTTGTTTGATAAACAAGGGGGATTTTCCCAAACCATAAAAACCCCCCTGGATACTGTCCTATTATACCATGATAAAGTATTATATTGGGGTAAGTTGGAACATGTTCTTATACCATAAAACATTATGGGATTACAGTAGTCAGAACATGTTTCAACTAACCCCAAAATAAAGTTCCAACAAGCCCCATAAGCACTTGCAGGTGCTGCAAGCATCCTTCACAAAACAGAGCATTCAGTAACATACTGTTAGTTAGCCTTAATTTGTAGCTTTGTACTACAGTCTAAAATACTCATATTTACTATTCAACCTAATCTATGAACATCACTCAGATATTGCAATTTTTTTTTTATTATGAAAAATTTACTTAGAAATTACAAAAAAAACATATACCTCCCCAAAATTAACAGTGTTGTAGCACCTGTTATATAGTCAATGTGTTGGATGGCTATGATTAATGTCTACTGTACAATTACAGTAGGTGGTAGTGAACTAACAAATTTATTTTAAAATGTCAACATTTCAACAAACCCTGCAATCCGACTAACCCCACTCTAACCTACAAACAAAAACTCACATATTTTCAGTTTATCATAGTTTTTTTTTACAAAATGATTGTGAATTCTTAATCAAAAGATCAAATAAGTTTTAGGGCCAGGCCTATTTATGTTCTTTTGTTTTGTATTAATTTTGCACTCTTTTTTTAGTGATGTGATGTACCAACTGATTTTCTGAAAGGACACAGTACAATAATAAATTTGTTTTTGTGAAATTAGCAAAGTACAGGTAGAAAAAGAGAGCCCAGTAGTCTTGTTGAAGTTGGGGCATTAGTTAGTGGCGTGACCATGTTTTGTAGTCTCACTCAGACACTTTTTTTATTTAATTTACTTATTTCATTTTTTTAATTTTTATTTGAAAAGTTGGCAAACGAGTCAGTAAAGGGCCGAGTTGATTTAACCCTCCATTCCAAACGAAGAGTGTCCTGTGTTTATTTTTTTTTACTGAGTAAGATTTACCCTAGTACCCCAATTTGTCAATTGGACCCAGTGACCAGGAATAGAATCAGAAAATATTTAATAATTTATTGTCATCAACAATTTAATAAAAGAAATTAAAAAAAAAAAAAAAAAAAAAAAAAAAAAAAAAAAAAAAAAAAAAAAAAAAAAAAAAAAAAAAAAAAAAAAAAAAAAAAAAAAAAAAAAAAAAACGAATAGGCCTGAAGAGTGTTTTTATTTTTAGCAGCAGGATCAATGGTTGTTTTTAAAAATTATTATTAATTGCTTAAATTTTTTGTATTACTTACTACTATTGATATTCACCATTTAAATCGGTGACATTAACTCAACGAGTTGTGGTCGTTTAAAAATTATAATGGAATAACAGAAAAGTTACAAAATAATGAAGTACACTATAAGAATCAAATTACATGGACGCCTTAATCAAGGACTAACTGTTACCAGGATAAGCTGGCTGGTTTAAGCCGTCTAACTTGAATTAGCCTTATGTGCGGTATTGTTATGTAAATGAGCAAAGTTTTGTTTTTTCTGAGCATATGCAGATTGTGCTTATCTGGCTCATTTGCATAACAATACCGCACGTAAGGCTACGGCTACGGTGACACTAGAGTTTCAAGCCTGGCTTGACTCACCGCGGGTGAGATTTTCGTAATGTGACCGCATCTACCCCGACTCGCGCCTGGCGTGACCTCGATCTCAATCTACCTATCTCGATCCCGGCTCAGCACCCAGGTTGGCATTCCTACTACAAGACTAGAGTATACTAAATCTATACTAAACTAGTCAACAACAAAAAATACAGTTTGCTAACAGTAATTATTATCAATTAAATAAAAACAAAAAACAAACAACACACATAATATTATAGGTTTAAGTCTTAATAAATAAATAATTTTACAAAAAATGAGTAGGCTTACCGCACTAGGCCAACCAAATACCCCCGGCCTATTTTCAAACAATTACATCATCAAATTCTTTCTATTTTTTTGTAAAACGGCAAACTGATCCTCAAAATACACAATAATATTATTATATACTAATCTATTATTATTTAAATAATATGAAAATCAAGAAAAACCGACGGACTTCTGTGTATTTATTATAAATGTTGCATTTTGTTGCACAAAATAACTCCATGGTTGTATCATCACCATGTGCACTTGTTTACAAAGGCTGTTGCACTACGCATGGATAATGACATGAGGTCATTCCAAATTGAAACGTATACTGAATTACATTTTAATAAATTACTTGTTAATTCAGGAGAATTTTACTTAAAAACTCAAATAGTGAATTGAAAAATATATCCTTACCTTGCCTGATGAAGTACCGCCTGCCACCCCAATCATAAATGGTCTTTTATTCAAACCATTAACATCATGCTCATTGTTCCGCTGCACACGTCGGCCCGCCATTTTACATACTAAATAAAAAACGCCTAAACCACTGAAATTATACTCAAAGCCAAAAGAAAAACGTATCTTTTACAAGGAAGCGCCCTCTCTAGTTTTTAAACGATCTATTATTTCCAAGAAGATAGGGAGTGTTATTCGACTTCACCGAAAGCTGAATTGGGGTTATTTTATTTTATGAAACAAATTTTTCAATAAAAAAACTAAAATATCAATGAAATTAACCGAATAAACATTTTATATATATAAACAATACGATAATTATTCAATAATGTTTGCTGATACTCTACTAATAGTGTTTATATCTGTCTGTACAGCTCTTCTCTCGGAGGGTAAGTCATCGTCATTTTCGTATTTTGCTAGGCCACCTTTGCACGGCTTCTCGCATCTAGAGGCAAGCGGCTGGCGAGGTTAGAGATGAGCTGTAGGCTCAAGAAGTATCAGGATCTGTTGGAAAGTCACGGGACGAATAGGCCTAGAATTAATAGGAAGGGAATGCTGTCCTTAAAACTAGATATGGGATCGCAGCGATTACATTATATCAATGATGAATAAAACAGGTCTGGCCTAGCTAGCCTAACCAATGCTTGAGAAATCAAACAAATGATCAATCCAACCAAATGCAATTATTTGCAATTTTTTTTTCTTCTTGACTCTTCTCTAATTTAACGTCTCTAGGGCGTAGCTTGTATGTTTGAACATTTTGTCCAGCCCATCATCTGCCTTAAATTTGTCTGCCTTTTTAAATTTTCAGCAGTGGCTTTGTTATGCCAGTCTTAAACCAATCAATCCCTGATTGATTGTTTAAACCAGTATTATAATAAAGAGGGTTTTCAAGCCAAAGATGGTAGATTGGTCGTGCGCTACAAAATTGCCAATTGATCACATGTTATGTGGCACACCTGTGTAGATAGACAATAACATATAATCAGAATTAGGAAATGTTTATGACTGGGGTAATTATTATTATACAGTAGCCACTGCCTTATTTTTGACAAATATTGTGAAATTTATATATGACTCAAACAAAATTTATGGAAGACTTTGTTTTGCCAACTAAACCTTGGGATGGTGGGGGGGTGGGTGGCGAGGAGGGTCTTGAACCGGCATAACTGCAAACCCTACCAATTCAAACAGGAGGGCCGGCCTACCGGCTACTGATTTTGTTACATTTCTACTGCCTAACAAATCAACAGGTCGGGGTCCAACATATCCGAGGGAGGTTCCAAGCCAAGGGGGAGCCAAGGGCTCGACGAAACCTGTCAACTACCTGGAATAAAGACTGCCTTGTAGGGTTCACGGGGAGAGTTTTTATTTAGACCACAATTTTAGGGATTGGCAGTTCAAAATAATGTTATTTGGATAGGCAAATTATTATTTATTTATTTGGTTTTCTGATAGGTGTAATATTTATTGTAGGCCTATTGAAAATTATTTAATTTAACACTCTTTAGTTTTTTAATGTACTGTAATTGAAAATATCTAAGTTTTGAAACAATTTCTTTGTTTTCATTAATATTTTGTTCATGATATACCCTCGGTGGCACTTCATGCCAAATTCTCTAGTTTTTACTTTCAAAATGTTGGTATGTATGCAGTTTATAGTGCTTATCTGAGAAGACTTGTTCCACCACCAGAACCAGGTGAGCATGCCACTCGAACCAGCACTGATATTATGGCAGTTGTTTGCAGCACCCTTGCCTTATCGCTCAGCCATTCAACCCACCGACTTGAATTAAAAAAAACAAAACCAATAAAGATAAAGTGTCTTCTTGCACTCAGACGCAATATTTTAATAGTTACATGAAGTGTTTTAAACCGGTTATGTAATTCTTCAACAGGTATCACTTACTTGTTGGTGTACAGGACGGAAACATACAAAAAGTTAAAAGCTGAAGTGGAAAAGCAGAGTAAAAAATGTAAGTAGTTAGCATATGAATCAATTATGTTTTTATGTAACCATTCAAATTTGAGGTCAAGTATACAGTAGAGTGCAGAAGCAGACAAGAAAAGTACATGGGTCAGTATACAGTAACTTTAATACAGTAGTAACGGGCATGGATTCCTGTACTGTACTTGTAAACAGTGGCATAACAACTGTGGCCTAGGGGCAAGAAAGTGTTGAGGGCCAATGGATTAGCATTATTTGCTCACAAAGTGTAACAAAAGTGGTCGAGGGGTTGGTATTTGAGTGAATCTTATTTACGAATATTTTAAAGCTAAAAAATACTGCGTTATTAATGGTGTCCATTAAACCATAGAATTAACTTTCATTTTCTCACAAATTTTAAGTGGTTCTTGTGTTATATATTAGGAGTGGGCATTTTTTACTGGGGACTGGGGGAATTATGCAACAGCTTATAAGAAATTTCAATAATAGGCCATCATTTTTATTGCACATGATGTAAAATTTAACAAATGGACTAGAAAGGATTTTAAAATAGAAAAGTTGGGTTATGAATTCTAGGAACTAAATAAAAGTGAAGTCACACATTATCGCTGATTTATGGAATAACCAGATCCAATGAAAATTAATTGACGTCATGGAAATAGAAACCAACAGAAACAAAATACCTTTCTGTGCCAAATATAACTACAGTACGATTCTTTTTATTTACTTAGTGGAAAAAACAAAAGAATCTGTAGGAGAATCTAGTGACAAAGGACAAAAGAAGAAATTAGGTAAGTAATCAATGAACAACAAAGAATATAGTGTATGCGAGTGACAGAAAAGGATAGAATAATAAGACTTCACAATATGATATAGAGACATATGCCACAGTGCTGTCAGAGTATTGAACCACAGGCCATGCTACATTATAAAGTCAATTGCAGGACCGGTGGCCCGGGCCCCCCACTTTTTGGCAGAAAATATATAATGTCATGCAGATTTTTGTATGATCAGCTCCCTTTTGCAAAACAAGGTTGATTAGAACCCAAAGAAAGTTACTTCAAATTCAATATTATTAATTTATGGAAAATTAAGGCATTCCTTGAATCAATGGACCCTAATATAATAAAGAAACTGAACATTTAATACTTAGAATATCCTCAACCTATTTTCTAGGCTCAAGGAACAAAGTTAGATTTTCGGCGTGCAAACTAATGAATTGGGAACCACATTTGTGGACAGTCCTATACTGAACTGCAATTCAAATGATCATGGTGTTAATTGTGTTGCATTTAATGTAATTTACCATGTAATAATACAAAAGATACTGTATGTTGCCATTAAAGGTACTTGTCCTGAGGTCCCACAGTTGTGTCTACAGTATTATCTCATTACAAGAAAGGTGGTAAAGTCTTCTCTATAGCCCTCCCTGCGTGCAACTCTTTTGATCATTTCTTCTCTCAGGCCCCTCAAAAATAATCTCTAACCAAGCATGCAGATATCATTTAAATAAGAGATTAAAATGGCTAAAACCTCTTATTGTTAATATCAGAAATGTTTAACCAACAGCTTATTACAGAACTGCTATATTAGCAAGAGGTGATATGCATACTATGTTAAAGCAAAATAATATCCATCACTTTAACAAAAGTCTTATTTATAGACAGATGTTTTAATATTTATGTTTTTCTATTAACATGTTTAGGCTGTTTCTAGCTTATTATTGAAGTCAAGGGTCAGTTACTGGATACTATTATTAATGTTGATACAAAATTACTAAAAAAAATTGTTTTTGTGTAGCTTTGATGGCAGGGTGGTTGCCAAGTTACCATTTATACCAATCAGCTGGATACAAGGCCTGTCACATCGTAATTTGCTGGGTGAAGACTACACAGATTGTTCCTTTATCTTTCTCTATATTCTCTGCACAATGTCAATTAGACAGGTAAAAACCATCAACAATTCCATATTTATAAGTTGTTTTAAATGATAGATTAGAAGACCACACAACAGACAGACAGCAAAACCTTCATTGAACAAAACATGCACAGATACATACAAAACAACACACATAAAGTGCAGTACTATAGAAAAATAGAGGCTGATATGTATATAGTGTTAGAAATGTTAAGACAGAAAGAGATGAAGTAGAAATTATTGGTAAAGATGTAATGTAATTTCATGTGTGTGTCACATTTTTATCAAACTGCATTTAACAGACTCTTAAATGAACATATTCAATATACAGAAGTATTATAGGCGGAAGAAGTATGTTGAGAGCTTTAATATCGATAATGTGAGCAGTTTCTAAAGAATTCTGCCATGGATATTGGTGCTTTGCAAATCGTTTTTGATTGATGAGTGACTTACTTCTGATTGAAATATGTTGTTATTATGTATTATCTGTATATTTGTATTTCAGAACATACAGAAATTACTTGGATTTGCACCCTCCAGGGCAGCATCAAAACAAGCTGGAGGTTTCTTCAGTCAACAACAGCCAGGCAGTAAATAATTGTACAAACATTATGTAAATTTACAGGCAACCATCATCGTGTACACAGGTCGTGGAATTACTGATCTGGACCTCCACAGCTTTTAGCGCAAGAGTATACAGTTAAATTTGCCTAAGTCAACTTTGCCTAACTCGAATAATTTCTAAGTCAAGCTTATTTTACATGCCAAATTGTTGTGTTTTCCATTAAACAATCTGTCAGTCGAATTTTATCCAAGGCGAACTTTATCCAAGTTTTTCAATGGCATTTTGGATTCGATTTGGACAAGTTCAACTGTACTCTTAGAAAGTGATTATGTTTAAAGTTTTGTAAAAATTTCAACTGCATATGTAAACAATTTGAAAATTAATTTATACAGTACATCAATAAACTTGACCGATTCATACATCTGTTCTGTATCATTTTTTCCAAACTAACAGAATACCGTTTTAAAGGTTATCTCACCTTTAATATTACCGACAAGACGATCCCATTTCATTCCGCCTACTTTTGGTTTTATGGTCTTGATACTGTACCTAGCTGGCTAAAAACAGATCCAAGCGTAGGGCAAATCTTTCAAGTAATACCATTTTATGGGCTTTTAAATGTTCATGATCTTATTTCCCCGCATTTACAACTGTGTTCATTCATACTAAAGTTAGTAGCTTCATTTCTGTAGTAAATGTGCATGTTAAGGACGAATATGATTTAAAAATAAAAAATTTGCATGTGTTGTGCATATAAGGCCCCCTGTTTTTAAGGGGGGCCCCCTCTTATATGCAAAAATATGTTTTAACAATACAAGTATATCATGTGAAAAATTATTTAGAAGCCAGAGGCTGAATTTCAAAGTTAAAAGATTAGTGTTTGAGATTCTTTGATAGCAAAATGTCTGTCCTCTTCAGGATTTTTGTCTATATAGATTTTATCACATTTTTTTAGTTACCCCTTTCCTAAATTAAAATGTAACTGAGGTTGTCTACTTAATTGTACAGTACACCTGTGCGATGCACAACCCACTTTCACAGTTCCTGTACTACATGCAAATACAGTATATTCATAAGAAATTTAATTCAAGATAAATATAACACCACAATTTCATTTCTTAAATTTCGAATTAATTTTAATATTTTCAAAAATAATAATAAAACGTATTGTATGGAAAAAAAACCCATTTTGATAGTAAATATTAAGTATTCACCCTACCTGATTTTGCTGTTATAATTATATCAACGATATATAATGTACAATTAATTGGAATAAATTTTAGATGAATGATTACTAGTACAGTAGTACCAATGGTTAAACTCTTTTTCAAATACACAGTGGCACAGTTAACTTGGACACACTGCCCGGCCCACTACGCAGTGGCACCAAATAACTGGGACATGCAACACTACTGTACTTGCACTTCCAAAAACCCAATTTGTCTCATTAAAATATTTTTTATCTGTAATTATCTTGTTAAATAAAATGTTTTAAATTATTTTGTTCTTAAATCCTAAATATAAAATATATCACAATATGGAAAATGTATACTCCAAGAAATATATACAGCTCTTTATTCATTCGCAGAAGTAAATGAGACTTGTGATTAATAAGAAAATATATGTAATGCACCTTATGAAATAGTATACCATTTCCCCAAAAATAAGATAAACATGGAACAAGGCAAACAAACAATACATAAGTACAATGAAAAAATTCATCAGGATTTCATTGGTTTCATTGTTGCTTCATTCTTTATCAAAATCCAAATTATGTTGTTAGCAACGTAATTCCAGTGTGGAAGCGGAATGTCATAACAAATAATAATAATATTGAAAACAGGACCAATGGTTTAAAGTTAATCATCTCATCCGAAAGATGGTGCGCTATTCAAAACTTGCATTCAGCCCTCTAGCAAGAGAATTGTCACCAGTTTAGTCAACTGAGCTAAGCTACTCTAACAATTATAATTGTTTTAATTTATAACTTAACTACAATTATAAACTTGCATTAATATACTGAATAAAATGAATGTAACTAAAACCAAAAAAAAAAAAAAAAAAAAAAATGTGTAGTTTATGACACAATACTACCTGCGAACAGATAATATCAAGGTACAAAATCACTAATTTTTTTGTGCAAATCTAATACACAAATTTATATATATATATATATTCAATTTATTCACTCAAATATTGCTATGTGGCATCATCATATGATGAGTTGATTAATATTACACTCATCATATATATTATGACGTCATACCCAAATATAGGCAAACCACATATTTTCCACATAACATTTTGGTGTTACAGTTTAGGAGAAAATTGACTTTATTATTTATTTCTTGGAAAATCTTATTCAATTCAATTTACTGCATTTGCAAACCATAATTAAGCAACTGAAATAAGGATAGCATGAGGCTTACCATCCCAAAACCAGCATCAGTAACCAAAAAATGAAAATTAACTTTTGAATATATTCTTATTCTCAACATTGTAACCTTTAAAATGATGGGTCATTTACTGGAATCGACTATAGCTACATTTACATTAACACAACGACGACATATCATTGTGTCATTCATATTTTTCAACACCCAAGTGCATTTTTATCGTGTTGTCGTATCCTTATCGTGCCTAGTGTAAATGTGGCTTTACTGATTGTAAAGTTATAAATAAAAGTATTTAACTTCTCTGCACGAAAGTATACAATACTGTCACATTATGCTAATCACTCAGTATAACAATTAGCAATAATCCGCTGGTTTTGAAATGGCGAACCTCATATTCTCCACACAATCATAAAGTTATTGCAAAGTGGGCAGATTTTTTATTTATAAATTAATAAAAGCAACAAACCAGTATGTTTTCTACCTTTCCAAAATGATATTTTTGATGCAATAGCCCACTCTTGCGTTAATTGCTTAATAACGAGGTATCTCTGTGCTAAAAAAAGAATGGGTTACACCACCACCGCCAAACTGAGATCTGTGTTTATGGACTTTATTGACCATCCAAAATTTAGAATTATTTTTTTAATTATGTATTTATTGTTTGAAAAAAAACAAGAGTAAATATAAAAATCAATTTTTTAAAAAGTAATTTAAAAATCAAATTCATAAAATAAAATACAAAAAATTAATAAGTATCTTATAGCATTGTAAGTAGTCTTTTCTACAGTATCATCACTTGGGCGGTAATTTACATAATCTCCAATTAAAATATCCGAAAGATCATAATTCCTCAGATGACATACTCCTGTGTATTGCATGTTTCCAGTTTCGCAAAAAAAATTCCTCCAATATTCAAATTACGACTTCTTCAGAAACAAGGGCACTTAGGAAATAAAAGGAAAAAACATTAAATTGCAGGAAGTCTAAATAAAATTATTACACTTTTGTCTGAGAACATATGGGATGTTGGGAGGTGGGTGGTGGAGTGTACAGAGATGCTATGGCGTATCTAGGGGTGCATGCGCTTCCAAAAAGTAACACTTGCGCCCATCCAGTCGCACCCACCCCCCCCCCAAAATTACGGTCAAGTAGTTAAAAACACCTTATTTTGTGAATTAGCACCCCTCAACTGATCATTGAGCCCACCCCCCATCAGCACCCTCATTCCAAGACTTCTAGATATGCCACTGCAGAGATCATATGTGTGAACGTACATAGGAATTCAAGTCCCTCTATTCTTCTTTATCCATAACGGTTTCATTTTCATGCAGCTTATAAAAACATTGCATAAACCAAGAGCTCAATCAAACTTTATTCACATTAATTATCAAAAATGATTTTGCTAAATTCCACTTCCAAAAATAAAAATATTACAGTTTCTTGCAAGTACTTACAAAATATTACAAGCAACACTATACACACAATTACCAATATTACAAGGCGAGTCTGGAAAAAAAAAAGACGGTACACATTACAAATTTAATTTAATTTGTAACCATTGAAAGTATGTATAATGATAAAATATTATAATGGACATAATATTTATAATATAAATACAATTTAATAATATTTATAATATAATATAAATACAATTTAAGGTATGTTTGATTACCACTTGTATGTAATATGAACATAGATAGGTAATGTACCTACTGGCATGCTAAAAACTTAGGAAAACAGTGTAAACATGAGGTAGGGCCTCTCAGCCTTTTGTGTTAACAACTCATTGTCTTATAGAGGTGGAATATGAATTTGGCAGTTGTTGTTGACAGTGGCGTAACTACGGGGATGCGCGGAGGTGGGCAGACATACAATCATATAATGCTATCTCATAAAGGAGTGAATTTATGATGTAAACAGATTAACCACTAACTAACTAACCTTGCACTCCTGCCACCAAAAATGTGATCGCAAACCTTTGGCACTAACCCGGAATGCCATGGAACTCATTGCCAAATTATCTGCAAAACAAAAACCACAAAGAAAAGATATGTTCAAGTATATCTAATGAATTTAAACCATAATAATTAATTTCTAATCAGCAAAACTGTTATAATATCTAACCTTATGCAGCAATTTAATCAAATTTCCTATAGTGACTTAAAATGCATCATACCATGGTATAACACATGTATATTCATATCAAAGGTATCACTGTGAAACGCATTTATATTTTTCAAAACTTGATAAAAATATAATACAGTAAGTTCAATGGACATTTTCAGAGTGTCAATCAAACTAAACAACTGCCCAATCAGAACAGGGCCAGGAATAACAAGCACACGTGTTGTCCCACAAACGTACATGTTTGCATATTTTTTAACACTGTTTTTTGGTGGGACCTTAGGAACAATATCCAAGGGGAGGGGCTTAGCTAAAAGGTTTACCAAACCCTTGACACACATTGCATCGGCAGATGATAGTCCAAAGAAATTGTTTGCACTTTGTGTGAGTGCTTGCCCAGTGGAATGTCAGTTCAAAGGGTGTTGTTGTCATGTCGGATCATTGTCGGATCATTGTCGATAACATGCATCATTGTGCAACGTTCACCTAAAGCCGTTTATTTTACTGGTAAAAAAATTTAAAAAAACAAACAAAAAAACACACTGATTAGGCCTAGGTAGTCAAAGCTTGCCTTTCAACAATAAACATCATTCCAGTCTTGTCTAAGTTGAGTGTATGTGTTGTTATTTTTTTTCAAGTCATTAAATCCCGCTCAAAAACGGTGACATCTGACACTGTGTGCACAGCCAAATTTTTATTGAAAAATTTACCTGTAAAAATGTTTCAGCTGGGAGAAGAGCACTGATTGTGTCTTGGTACTATGAAACTTTTAATCATTGTTAATTTATAAACCATTTGTGTTTGTTGTTAAAGTCCTATTTACCAGATTTGTCCTGTAAATCTTCCAACTGTTCTCCTCTGTCCAATACTTTTGCAACATTATCTCTCATCACGTCTACAACTTCATCTACCCCTCTTTGTGCTCTGCAAATAAATGGGGAAAAGAACTTTATTATGGCACTGTACTATACTTTCTCATACTAACAACTACTAACAAAACAGTTACTGGGTCAATTTAAGGATGCACTATAATAACTAACTTTATGTTTAATAAATGATAATCAATTGTTTTAATCTAATACACTATTAGTTGGCAATTATATATACATTTTTAAATGAAAACTATTGCCTGCCAACTATCTGAAATTGGACTAAACTCTTGACAATTGTTGGATAGAAATTACAAATATACCTACTTCAATATGCCTCAATATATATATAACAACTCAATGTTAAGATAATACTATATCTGTATGTTTTTGTTGTGTAAATTGTACTTCTGTATATACTTCATGTTATAACTTACAATTATCTAACAAACTCTTTTAAAGGTATCTTGACTTTTTACTATTTTTAAGTACGTTGTCCAAATGTAATTTTTTTGGACAATAAAATTATCTTGTACCTAGTAGATTAGCCTGTGTGACCATATAATAAATACAGAAGGACTATGTTCAAAAAAGAGGTGTTACCTCTGAATATTATTGTCTGTTTTTGCCTTGGCTGAATTTGGTAGAGGACTTTTCTTGAGAAAGAAATCATCATCATCGTCATCATCATCTTGATAATCCAATAAATTTTCCTAAAAATATACAAGAATTACATAATTCAATATGAGTAATAGGAGTAATGTAAATTCATGTCTTAATTATGTAACTAGAGAATTCAGACTCCCCCACCCACTGAGTACCTTGGTTGTCAATAAAAGACAATCCCACCCTTTCTACATAGCAAGGTATAATAATAATAATAGTAGTAGTAGTCACGATGCTATGACTCTATAAGCTTCCCAGTATTATTACTTTGGTCATTGCATTAATAAACACATGGGTCACAAACCAAGCTCCCTGGGGTGTATTCCATAACACTGCAGCAGTTAATCAGCACATTTGGCATTCTAACCCTACCATTACCAGGTACCCACTTACACTCCTGGGTTGAGGCAAGCAATGTAGATTTGCTCAAGGTCTCAAGCGAAATGCATAGAGAGCAATCAAAACCCTGATCACAAGGTTCCGTCTGCACCAAACCACAATTAAAATGATTAACAAGTATAATGTAATGTGATGTATATATAAATTTTCTCTGGCGCATACCCGCTCAACATGGTGTGATCCAAGCATGTCAGATTCCTTGAGATGGCGCTTAAACTTAGGAGGCATTCTCACTGTCCTTCACAACTTACAGAAAGAAGCAAAATGAGTTGCTGAGTTTTCAATCGACTTTTTGAAATTTAAATAGCTGTTTGCCAGTTGTTGGTACAATACAGTAACTTCACATTCTAAGCTAAGCTGATCAAGGTACAGATGATAGAGTAGCTTCATATAAAACACTTCAATTGATACGATAAAAGTACAGGTAGACTGCTTCTTTCCTGAAAAATAAAGCTGGGGTTGAGTCTCTTGGGTTTTTATAGCCTACTATGATTCAATCATAACTAACTAATAATATTATCAATACTGTAAATGAAAATCTGTGGCCGCTAAATTGCTTAAGATAATTACAACAGACCAGGTATCAGGCTTTTGCCTCCAAGAACATCACTCTGTAGATATAGAAATTCATTTGTGCTAAATAGTAACCATCTTTTTCATTCTAGTGCAACTAGGGTTTGATTTTTATAAATTCCGTGATTTTTTAAAATTTTAACAAATCTTAATTTTTCAATCTTGCCGAGTAAGCCAATTTTCTGTATATTTTCATGTATAACAAACAATAAAGTTTCTTGAATCTTGAATCAAGACAATAACACTGGGGTCCCAAGTCTCCTGGAAGTCGGGACGGCACCCACACTCCCGCAGCATGCAAGAATCTCCTGTAAAATTACCCTTTTTCCGGCCACAAATTCATAATATTTACATGTATTACTACTTTATTTATCAGTTGTCACATGGAAGTCAGTGCTGATATATATCACCATCTACAGAAAACCTCTTGTTCATGCATTTACTTTACTAAAGTTGATTATTGTAATTCTCTGTTATTGGCCTCCTTTCCCATTCAATTAAACGATACAACAAATCAAAAAATCCTGCTGCTCATGTATGTTCTTACTCCAAGGCACAATGATATCACTCCTATCCTAAAAAAGACCTGAACTGGCTACCTACTCAACAATGAGTTTCTTTAAAATCCATAATCTATGTTTTTAAGGCTCTTCGATTTCCTCAAATTTTCCTCACAAATTTTCCTAAAAACCAAAAATATATGTAGGCCAGGCCAAGTGAAGAATCTGCTGGAATCGTCACTGAAAACAAATTTGTGAATTTTTATTTTCCGATTTCTAGGCTAGGTCAAATTTTTGTGTGGACGATACTCCCCACTTATTATTAGGAGTACTAGTATTTAAGACAAACAAAAAACACTTAATTTCTTGTTCGCTGCCGAAACGGATGGCATTCCATTGAGCCTACCCACCTAGATGGTACCTATGTCCTGAACCTTGTCTCATTTGAGGACTCCGGCGCTAATGCACTTTCGCACCTGGCCTACGGCATATATATATACTGCTGGCAGTGGTATGGACATGGTAAAGTGTTATGTGCTAGCGGCCTAGCCTATCTAGGCCTAGCCTATTGGTACTATACCTAGCTCTAGCTTTTTCTAGACTGCTTTTTTTAATAATCTAAATCTTACATAAAGACTAACAGTATATATTTTACAAATCAAGTGTCGTATACTGTAGTAATATTTATACTCTTTGGTAATATCACGGACGGTTGCGCAGTCGCGCAATTCCCTTATTTTTTTTTCAGATTCTGAACAGCGCCACCAACGAGCACGTAAATAATTTTGAGACGAAATCGAGTATGGGACGCCAATAAAATTAGGTATGGTGCGCACTAAACGCAATAAAGAGTGAGTAATCAATAATTAGGATTTGGAACCCATGGAGCAAGTCGATCGTTACGGTAGGTTATTAATTAATATATTCATTTCGGAGTGTTTCAGTTCTCGCTAACAGCATAGAATACAATTCGTTTCCTTGGCAATCAGTCAAAAACTTCAACTAATAAAAAACATTTGTAAATTAACATAGACAAATAGAAGATAAGATCCGTTAAAATAGCTATCAGTAGGCCACTAGTACTAGTAATCCTTAATATCGATAAGACCTTGCATAAAAAAACATCGCTAAACTGAAGAATTGCGCATGAATAATAGGCCTAGTACCAGACAAATCAGAACTTTCAAGACGATGGTATTCATTATTATTCATAGAAATACACTTTATACCGGGCCATCAGTGACATTTGTCATTGAATTCGACGTCGTTTGTTAGATCTTACACATTATATACAGTATTATATGGTCATCATCATCACCCTCATCATCTATCATTATCATCAAGACATCAGCGGTCAGTTGTGGAAGTAAAATTCTAAAAATGTAGGTGGGTGTCAGACAGAGGTTTGCGACACGTGTATTAGCTAACGTAGCACACGTATACTTATCGTCAAGTTTACTATGAAAACAAACGTTAAGTGCAAATTGTGAAAAATAATCGATTATTAGTCATGTTGACTGATATATACTTTGAGCCAGATATTTCAATTGAATAATCCGTGTTGTTTATGCTTCAAAATATTGTAACATTCTGTCAGGCGTGGTGGAGCCAGTAGGGGGCATGGGGGTACGCTCCCCTCCCCCGTTTTGCCGCCAAATTTTAAAAATTTCAATGCATATCAATATTATGTGCTACTCACTTATACATTCTGAAACTGTTGTGGTCCCCATCCCCCTCCCGTCTGCAAAATTCTGGATCTGCCAGTGGCGTAGAAAAGTTTTTTTCATTGGGGATGATTGGCGTGTTAGCCAGTGTCGTAACAGGCGCGGGGGGGGGGGGAACTGCCCCTCCCCTGACGGTTTTTACCGGGCTGACCAAGCCGTCGTACCGGGCTGGGTAATAAGAGAAAAAAAAGAGGGGAGAGGGAGGGAAAGAGAAAGAAGAAAAAAGGAGAAGGAAAGAAAAAGGAAAAGAGAAGAGAAAAATAAAGACAAGACAGGAAGATACATAATGACCAGACTCACAACACCCTGCAACCCTTCTCCACTTCAAGAAACTGTCATAACTCCTTTGATCTATGCTGCCCGATGGCTTAACCGCTGGGGGACAAATGGGAAAATATCTATCTTTGAAAAATCTTCCCCACCCCTTTATAAATGCCCTTTTCATCCCCTGAAAGTGCCTAAAAAACCCCAAATTTCGCGCGCATTTCTTGTTAGCATGGGTCAATTTCCTCTAAAAATTGCACATTTTAGGGAGTTTGGATCAATTCCAACACAATTAGAATTAAAAACACCGGGGGACAAGGAAAAATATCCATCTTTGGAAAGTCTTTCCCCACCACTTGACAAATGCATCCTCTGAAAGTGCCTAAAATTCTTTGCTCGCATTTCTTGTTACGGTAGGCCAATTTCCTCTATAAATTGCACATTTTAGGGAGTTTTCATCAATTCCGACGAAATTAGAATTAAAAACACAAAAATATTTTTTAGGCCTTTTTTAGGTTTATCCTTTTAAGTTATTTAAACACATAAGCCTAATAATAGTCCCAAACTCAAGAAAGACAAATTTAAGATAGATCGTTTTAACCAAAAAGAAGGGCCTCAATATGTATTGATGGTGAAAGAATATGTTTGTAATAAATAAAACCATGATGAAAATGCTTATATTTAGTTTCAAATACACGTGTGTGGCCTATATTATGAATAAGATAAGCCCTATGTCGTATTGATTTTTATATGGGGAGTGGGGTGGGTATGGTAAATTACTAACCGGGAAAATAAATGCGCCAATGTGTGCCCTTGTGCGGACAGGGGATGTGCCCCCCCCCCCTCTGAAGCTGGAATTCTTGTTTTTCTAAAATAAATTGATGCAATTTGCTATTATAGGCCTAATCAATAAATTCCTCATCAACCGATATAAACTTAAACATTCTTGGAATTGACATAACATACTGATGTTGTACACGCCCTTGAGTGTGAAATGTGGCTCTCTTTGCAAGCACATCTAACAACTAAGGAAAGAAGAGCTTAGATTGGTACCAGATAAAATAATTGTTATCAACATTAATACATTATGCTAATTTTCATCTTTGTAAGCGCATGACAGTGCAAATTATTTCTGTGACAGTCTTTTGAAGTGTGCAAAACTCCATTATATCCCATACATAGTCAAAATATTTGGGGGATGATACAATGGACCATCCCCTTGTCAAATATTGGGGGATATAACCCCCCCCCCCCGGGATCTACGCCTATCTGCCTGTCTGTTTTTATATTCCTTTTTTAAAATGGCAGTGACGAAAAGGAAGTGGACAGGGGGATCGTCCAGTGATGGTGCCAGGACTTGCCCGACGGAGAGGCTAAAGGCCTCGACCGGGTGGAGAGGGGTATTGTGGAGCGAATCGAGTCTCACTTGGCTGGGGGCCGGGGCCGTCTAGGGCCCCGGTGGGAGTCCAGGGGACGATTCATGACGAATTTTTATTAATTATTTGATAGGCATCGAGCTACTGTAAAATAGGACTTCATGTATAGGCTATGTTTTCTAATGTCGAAATCCGCTTCCAAAACCATAATACAGTATTTTGAATAAAACAAGAAACAAAGAGTATGCAATGTAACCATCTAATTTATTTTCAAATCCTCATCCTTGAAAGTAAAATTCTATATTTTGGAAATTTTGCATGAAATCTGTCAACCACGCTGTCAAGGTCGAGGTTGCTTCCCTTATCGCGATGTATTTCAAGCATC